GTTGGTATCCTCCTACCTGCGAAACCTTCTACCACACAAAGTAAGCAAGATAATACTCACTAGCTACGTAGTGACTCAAGAAGAAGTAAATGTGTAAAAAGAGAACGTAAATATTTTTAATGTTAACAGATGAGACTGCCCCTAACGTTACGTGCCCATTTGACTTTGAGGTGTGCACTGACCTGGGAACATATTCAGTAAATGCGACTTGGGAAGCAGCCAGTGCATCTGACAACTGTTGTAGCAAGGTCGACATAACTACAAACTACACAAGTGGGGAACCTTTGTCACTTGGTGTATACAAAATAGGATACACAGCAACAGATTGTTTTGAGAAAACTGGTTATTGCAAATTTACTGTTGAAGTTAAAGGTACAATGAACAATTTGAAAGTATTCAATTATATTTTTATATAATATTTTTATTTGATTTTTTTCTGTTACTGAATGATTACTAATAAAATTCAAACTTCATTTCTTTATCAAAAAACATAACTTAAATAGTAAGGCTGCCTTTCATATTTAAAAATTATTCAGCTTGTAAACTGACTACGGAAGCCCGTTGGTGTCGACAGTGAATAAACATGCCAAATCAGTTAACTGGCGGCCGCCAGGTAATTATCACAAAATTATCTGGCGGCCGCCACTGAATTATCTGGCGGCCGCCAGTTAACTGATTTGAAATTTTTATTTACTGTTGACACTAACGGGCTTCCGTAGCTTAGCCTAATTCATAACAATACATTATTTATTATGTATTGTATAGTCAATCTAGAAAATATTTACTAGTGATACACACAGAACAATAATATGTTTGTCTGATCATTTTCTCTAGACTGTGAGGCTCCATCGCTTATATGTCCACAAGATATAAACGTAAACGTAGCAGGTGATGATTACGTGGCCACTACATTCTGGACGGCACCCACTGTTACAGACAATTCTGGATATAGCTTTACACCAATGTGTGATTACTTGAATGGAAGTACTTTCTCTGAACTAAACACTACTGTCACTTGCAATGCTACCGATGATTATGACAACACTGGGTATTGTACATTCAACATTATCACAAGTAAGAACATGTTTATGGTATTGGCTTCATTGAATGTTAAAATTTCTTGTAAACCAGATACTTTCTTAATACCAATTAAAAAAAAAACATAAACACGAGGGCGTATCATATTGATCTCTGTAATTTGCGATTTATTAAACGACTAGTGCTGTCACTACGCATGCGCAGAAATATGAAATATTACTATATAGATTGAATTTGAATTGAAATGAAAACAACAACCGAATAGGCTTGCCTGAAACCAGCGGTGGTTACAGAAGCAGTGTAGCTTACTTTTAGCAAATAATCGCGTATCATCGATTCTATGGGGCGCCAGCAAAAGTCCACGTTAAATCAAAACGTGATTGCAAAATTCAGTGTCTAATTCATCAAAAGGCGTAAATTTCTCAAAATGTAGATCTAGTTTTCTAAAATGAAGTTCTAATTTTTCAAAACGTAAAAATCCCCCCCCCCACTTATCAGCGCCTGAGCGTAACAACTGCTGATTGTAGCAACCCCTAAACGAACGGCGCTTCAGAAAAAATACAGTACAAGCCTCTACCAATTATCGCAAACTTCATATCTTATCGCGTTGTTTGTGTTTTAGGTTAACTTAATTTTTTTTTAAGTGTACAGTTTTTTTGAATATTTTAAAATCCTTAAGTTAAATTTATTTATTTTTTTTTTAAGTTTTTATTATTTTCAATGAAAACTAAATGCGATCGTTAATATTGACCTTGTTACAATGTGAAATTGTAATCATATGACTACTTATAGAGAATTTTACTATATTATAGGCCTAGACTAGGACCAGACCTCATACTATAGCAGGGGCGGATTTAGGCCCCTGCCTTTTGGAAGGTAAAGAAAAGAAAAAAAAGGAAAAAAGAAAAAAATGATAGCCCACAACGCCTCAAATTTTGTTTTCGGGCGTCTAGAACACAAAAATTTCGCGGGGGCATGCCCCCGGACCCCCTAGGACATTGTTGTCTCGATCGGCCCAAATTTCGGCCCCCCTTTTGGACATCTCTGGATCCGCCCCTGTATAGTATAGATGCCTAGTCCAAGATCTTGTTGCAACTCCCAGCCTTGATAATCCTAGCCTATAATGCCAGCATAGGGCTCGTGATCGCGGTACCCTGACCATTAAAATAGCACACACGCTGGGAAGCGTTGTTCACGGCATTGGACTGTCACAGCGAAAATTGATTCCCGCATGATTAATGGAACAGGCCTACGTCATGCTTGGCTGATTAGTTTTGAATGACATTTCGCATGTCTATTGTTGTAAAATGTATTTCAAGGGAACAGTGAAATTACAACAATCGTCGCGATGCAGGCCTGTCCCCATTGAGTAATGCCACAGTGCGAGCCAGCGAGTCATGCGAGCCAGCGAGCCATGCGTGCCATATATTTAATTTTTTTTTTCAGGTTATCCAGTTTTGCAATCACGTAGGCCTAACCTATATTCTTTGGCCTAGTAAATGCAAATGAATAACACACCGGGGAGCTTTGCCTGAGCAGTCCAGTCATGCGCAGTACATATATTTTTTTGGACTTGGTTACTTTTTCGAATCGTCAATCAGAAAGTATGCAGCGCTGATAGATGTTGTTAAAATACAGATATACAGATACATACATACAGATATATTTATATATA